CGGCCGCATTTTAAAATCTTTTTCTTTCAGTTACATAATTTTAAATTTGACATCTGTTATTGAAACATATACAATTTGTAACTAACATATTTGAAATTTCACAAAATTTTGTTTTAAAAATATGACCTTTTTAGAAAATGATTAATATATAAATATTTGTGTTTAAAAAGAAAATCATCATGCATATTTATTCTTTTTTTTTTTTTTTTTAAATGAATTTTATCATTTTTCGGCTGACACAACACAAGCAACAGACAGTCGAAACACCAAATATAGACTTAGACGAGTATTATTCTGTTTATAAAGATGATGGAACTAATGAAGTGTATTTCAGATGTAGCATAGGTTTAAATGTAAAAAAATATGTATTTAAAGGGAGTTTGCATGTATTATGGATGTTAACAATTTTTAATATTTCTTTTTTTTTTTATCAAATTCCATGTTTTATTCTACCTTATTTTATGAAAAAATAATAAATAAGAGTTTTGAACATTTTCGAGAATTAGAAGCAATGCAGTCGGATTAGAAAACTTACAAGTACTTGTCAGTATTTGTGTGGTAGACAAATGTCTGTGTTTGTGAATATTCATGTAAAGCACTTAATATTACAAAAAAAAAATGAGCTTTCTAATTGGAGTTTACTCGCTCCCGTCTTGGTAATTAAAGATCAGTTTTAAGTTTAAGTCGCAATCACTAAATTTATATTGAACCCCCACCCCCACAGAAAAAGGAAATCATTACACTTTCAGTGTTATTCTATACTTATTAATATTTTAATGCGGTTCTGTGGAATAAATGTTTTAGTCCTATATCGAAAACTTTTAGTTTTCTAAAAGAAAATATTTGAAAAAATTAATTTACCCAGTTGGACCCTTTTGGCCTTTTTCCGAAACCCGTTGTAACCCGGGGAATCCTTTCTTATCGGCCCCGATTTATTCCCGAAACCCTTGTTTATTTCCATAGGGGGGATAACGCCCAGATATAATGTCATCTACCCCTTTTTAAAAAAACCAACAAAAAGAACAAAAACCCCCCAATCAACAACAACAAATCTAAAATTTTAAATTAACATACAGAATGTGAAATTTTTCCCAATTTAAATGCTATTGGGCTTAAATTCAAAATTTCAAGTCCCCTCAATACTTTTATTACATTTTTAAAAGAAAGTTTGTAAAAAATTGAATCATTTAAACATGGTTTTGCCCTCAAATTGACATTTCAAAATTTCATTAGAAATGAGTTTGGTTTACGAATACCAAAATTAAAAATGATTGTTTAGAAACATTTTGATTAATAACACTGTGGCTGGACGGCGTATCAACCGCGAAAAGGAACACTGGCGTGCCTTATTTTCTATATATAACAACAGATAGCCTCAAAAATTAAACAATTAAATTTGTAAGCAATGAAAACCGCAATAAATTTACGTTATTTTGACTAATGAGACCCAATAGTTGCCCCTAATAAAAGTTATATTTTTCCATAAATCACTAAATGTTTACATAAATAAAAAGCTAAATGTAGACAGAAATAAGAACATTTTCCCAGTGTTGCTTTATTATTAGAATTTTTATAACCAGTCTGATTATTTTTCTATCGTCGCTGTTTTCGTAAAAACGCTACGTCACAAAAATGAAGACTGTATTTGTTAGGGGTTTATAATCGTTTAAAACCATTTCCAATTATTTATATCTTACTGTTTTGTACGAGCTTGTTTTGTGTATTGAAATTAATTGAATTTAAAACAAAATTTGGGAAAATAGCTTTCAGCAATGAACTATTTTTGTAGCTGAAAAAAGCAGTCTCAACATTAGTTGAGAAAAGTCTTGCATTAGTTAAAAAGCAAACTGTACAGTAGTTGGAAAAAAGCAATCTGTACATAAGATGGAAAAAAACAGTATGTACTTTAGTTGAAAAAGCAATCTGTACATATTTTAAAAAATGCAGTTTGTACATAGTTGAAAAAAGCAGTCACTGTCAGTACATAAGTTGAAAAAGTAGTCTCTACATTAGTTGAAAAAGTAGTTCTACATTAGTTTAAAAGGAAAGTCTGTACAATAGTTGAAAAAGATATCTGTACATTAGTTGAAAAACACAGTCTGTACATTAGTTGAAAAACACAGTCTGTACATTAGTTGAAAAACACAGTCTGTACATTAGTTGAAAAACACAGTCTGTACATTAGTTGAAAAACACAGTCTGTACATTAGTTGAAAAACACAGTCTGTACATTAGTTGAAAAAAAAAACAGTCTGTACAATTGTTGAATAAGCAGTCTGTACATTAGTTGAAAAAAAAACAGTCTGTACATTAGTTGAAAAAAACAACAACTGTATGTACATATGTACATTAGTTGAATAAGCAGTCTGTACATTAGTTGAAAAAACAGTCTGTGCATTAGTTAAATGAGCAGTCTGTACATTAGTTGAAAAAAACAGTCTGTACATTAGTTAAAAAACGCAGTCTGTTCATTAGTTGAAAAAGCAGTCTGTACATTAGTTTAAAAAAGCAGTATGTACATTAGCTGAATAAGCAGTCTGTACATTAGCTGAATAAGCAGTCTGTACATTTGTTGAAAAAGCAGTCTGTATATTAGCTGAATAAGCAGTCTGTACATTAGTTGAAAAACACATGTAAAGAAAGGCGCAATATTTTGCAAGATCCTCTGTTGTAAAATGTTATCTGTTTGTCTTTATTGGAAAGTGTTATCGAAGTTGTCCGAGGTGTTCCGAATGTTTGAATGACTCCCGCGAAAGGGGCTGTTATCCCCCGCCGATGGATTGAGAGGGGAATATAGTTTTTGCGGTAATTGTCCCTCCTTCGATTCTTTGTTGTCCGTCCGTCCAAAAACAAAATAAGTATATAAATATTGTACTGTTTACTGTTATACATGTACCTGTAAATTTATTTTGTTTAGGTGGACTTTTACTCGATACATTGGCACAAATATAGTCTGCAACTGGTAGCATTAAATTACTATTTGTTTACATGTTTAGTTTCTAAGCGTGGGTAAGACAGTTCAGTATGGTGGCTGATTTGTGCAATTCGTGTTTTCGCCCCGCGACCCCGCCACCCGAAAAGTCGAGAATTAACAAGTTAAAATGGCAGGGGCGCGGAGCGAAAACATGCTAATTAGAGAGGGCGCGGGGCGTAGTTTAGTTTAAACAATATTTTATTTCTATTTTACAACATAAATAATATACAGTAAGCATATACAATCACACTGATATATTTCGTGGATTGGAACACAAAGTCAAATGTGAACTTATGTAAATTCCTTTCCACACATAATGTACCTGCAATAAAACATATGCACATATTTGGTTAGAATAATACAGAAAATGGAAATCAGATAAATAATTGAAATGAATAAATTTGTTTAGAACATTATTATCTAGAGTAGTAGAATAAGAAACTTCTGTTTCCAAAGATTATTTCATAATATTGGATAATTACTCTAAAACAATTTCTATTACAAAGTTAAAATATTGTTCTCAACTAGTATTCAAATTTTTAAGTAATTTTTTTCAGATGATTTTGTTTAGAATGTTTCGAAGAAAAAAGATTCAAAAATATTTAAACAAAGTTTTGAATAGAGAATATCGTCTGCACACAATATTATTGGGAAGTGATGGACAGAAAAAAATTGATATTAGTTAGTTATAAATAAAATTTCGCCCCGCGGGGTTGCTAAGCGAGCTGTAAGAGATAAAATGGCGGGGTAGCAGGAAGAAAACACGCTAATTAGCGGAGACGCGGGGCGAAGTTTAATCAATAAAACTTTGCCGCGCGCCTCCGCTTATTAGCGTGTCTTCGTCCCGCGCACCCGCAAAACGAAAAGTCGATAATAAACAAGTTGAATTAGCGGATGGGGTGGGGGTTCGGAGCGAAAACACGCTAATTAGCGAGGGCGCGGGCGAAGTTTAATTAATAAAACTTAGCCCCGCGGGGGCGCGGAGCGAGATTTAAGAAATAAAATTATGGGATAGGCGGGACGAAAACACGCTAACTAGCGGGAGCGCAGGCCGAAGTTTTATTTATTAAACTATGCCCCGCCCCAGCTCTTAAGCGTCTTTTCGTGCCGCGACCCCACCAAGCGAAAAGTCGATAATCAACAAGTTAAATTAGCGGGGGCGCGGAGCTAAAACACGCTAATTAGTGGGGGCGCTAATTAGCGTGTTTTCGTCCCACGACCCCGCCGTTTAATTTATTCAAGTTTCAAGTTTATTTGATTATCTCAGTATGCATACAAATACATAAACACGAGAAAAATAATCCTAAATATATCTATATAAAACCATGTCTACAGAGGACAACATTCATTCAAAAATATGAATTATGAATCGCAACTAAATTTCTTTTGTATATTAAAGAAAGACAGTACTGAATCAAAATGTCTAGACTAAATTGTTTACAAATATCATCTGTCAACTTTAACCTTTTCTTAACCTGAATTATATTGTATTGTGATTGGTCACTGTTGGCACGCGCTTTCTACTGTGCCGTTAAATAAACTTCTGTAATTTTACACAAAATATGTCATTGGGTCAGTAGGTTGTATTGTGTCTGCACGCGGTATAGTTTCAATAGTAAATATAGTACTGTGATGATTTCGTTTGTGTGGCAAAAAAATGGACTTAATTAATCTGCAAAAACTAAATGAGAAGAAATAAATCTCTGCTGATCTTGGATTATTATCTGGTTACTGATTTCTAGCGATGTAAGGCTGCAAAATTTACGAATGTGACGGGAAGGGTGAGTAAATATTGGTTTTATTTTGTAAACATAAGAATTAAAGGGGATTTCCCCGGCCCCTTATGCATTATTAAACTTCGCCCCGCGCCCTCGCTAATTAGCGTATTTCCGTTCTGCGCCCCCGCCATTTTAACTTGTTAATTCTCGACTTTTGTCTCGGCGGGATCGCAGGGCAAAAAAAAAACGAATGGTACAAATCAGCCACCCTAGTTCAGCTTATTCCTATTATTGTGTCCGAAGAGTGACGGAAAGGGTCGCAAAGTTGCCATTGACTCTCCTGTCGCTAGACTGGTCCCCTGTGTGCTTCTTAAAAGAACATCGCTGAAGGGAACCATAATAGGAACCAGATTATCCCGTTGCTAACTAGTATTTGGTGATGTTTTGATTTAACGGTAGGCTTATTTAAAACACGCAGTATTGTGACGTCACATAGAAGAAATTGACGTTGCGCATTAGCAACGTCAAATTGATCGAAAAATTACACAAGCTGTTTTTTTTTACCATTAAAGCATGGAGAATTAATGGCTAGTGAAAATCGAGGCTGTTTCGTTTGGCTCATAAGTTTAAAGAAGTCTTGCAATGAAAGGGTGAGTAGAATAAATTTAATTTTCAACATTCAGTCTATATAATAAATCAACTGTTTTTTTTTTTTGTTTTCAGAATCTTTTAAAAATGACAGCAGAATTTGTATTGGGGGATTGAAAAATGATGATGATGTTGATGATAATAATACAAATTAGATAATAATAATAATTATAATAATGATAAATGAATTAATAAATAAATAGATAGATAAATAAATAATAATAATAATAATAATAATGATAATAATAATAATGATAATAACAATAATCATAATAATAATAATAATAATTATTATTATTATTATTATTATGATTATCATTATCATTATCATTACTATTATTATTATTATTATTATTAATAATAAAATGATAACAGTTTAGTGGGAAGTAAAAATTTAAACATAAGCAGTGTCATTAACATTTCAAATAAAATAAAATAAACAATAAAATCATTAGCTTCTGAAATTTGTACGCAGTAAATACTTTATTTATTTTGCAGTTTGCAAGATTTCGAAACCGCATGCGCCAAAGATACTATGCAAGAAGAGGCAAGACTCTTGACCCAGAAACCCTGTTAAATGAAACAGGAAATGCCGACATGGTCGTCTGTAAGATTGCCAGCAAGTCAAACAAAGTCGTTCATCAAAACATGTCATCTGTGAACGGTATAGAAGTTTATATATTAATTCATAAATTGTTTTATAAAAATAATTCTTACTGCAGTATATTTTCTACAAGCACATTTATACAGTTTTATTGTCTAGAAACGCAAAATCTACAGCTGGGCTGGCTATCTGTCACTATTTTTTCACTGACAAAAAAAAAAACACAACTGAAACCTAATATCTAATATTTGTGTGCAGTTGTTTATTCCTTTTTTATTATCATTTCCATTCCAGTAAAAAGAAAACTCAAACACACACAAAAAAAACCAAAAAAACAAAAAACACATAAAACATTTTGTATCTCTCTCCCTCTCTTTATTTTGTTAAAGTTTCATATAATTAAAAATATAACAAACATTACTTAAATTTATACATTATAACAATCTGAAAATCTGAAAGATTTTTCCTTTTTTAGATGATGTTGTTGATAATGAAAATTCAACAGTGATAGAGGTCACAGTAGACGACAAACTTGGTAAATACATGTATTTTTCCCAACTATTTTTACAATTTCATTACTTATTTTGTGGAACTTTTGGTCATCTTAAATAATATCTTTTAAAATTTTGTCAGATAGTTCAAAATGTCCGAATTGTATTCCATCATGTGTAACATTTATTGGCGTTGCTACACCTTTAATGAACCGCAATTTATGCATAGTTTATACAGATCGTGAAACATTTTGTTAAATGTTGCATTCAATATAAGATTGCATGTGCTATTAAACCGATCGTCACATTCAAAACATATTTTTTAGTTGAAGAGTACGTGGCATGCATCATAGACAAGGCAGCCGACACTCTGAGGCAGGAGTTGCCTAGCAACACAGAGACTGTGACAGTGAGGCCAGCAGACGACAACATATCATTGTCCTCCAGTATCATCAGCCGTAAGTGGTTTTGTTGTTACAAAGGTTAATCGTAACTACATCCCTATTGCCCAGGGAAGGCGTAGGATAGTTGATTTTTTTACATTTTGTCTGCCCCGCACTTCCTGTAAATGCGAATGTTGCAGCGTTTAGTCAACATTTAACCTTCTGACAGCCGGGGCCTTACCCAGAGCGGGGGCAAGTAAAACTGATCTATGCATGAAATAATGCGTTTTAATAAATTACGAATATATTTTATAATTCTACAGTTCCAACAGTTGTTTTCGACATACACGTATCTAATGTACATGATATAATTATTTTCTTGACAGAAATCGCTGATATGGCTGTAACGGAGAGCTTGTCAAACATTGTGGCAGATGCCGACATCAACCACTCTGCTATTAGAGCTCCCAGAACTGTCACAGAATTCAAAGGTAAGAATGTATGTTTAGTTTTTTACGGCAAACCAAATATTTTAGCCATACAGTACTTCGTATTTTTTTCATACATTGTAATATTATAAAACAAAATCGGCGTCGAGTCGACAAAGAGAAAACTTCTATCGCGTTATATTTTTCAAACAAAACCAACGGCTTACACTTAAGAAGAGCAATTGTTTCACAAATTTATGAAGTGAAAAAAAATAATCGTTATATATTATGTTACAGAAGCATTTGGCATAACCGGATGTGACATCACTGATGATGGTCTTCCACCTGTAAGTGAGTAAGGTAAGACTTGACAATAATTTCAGACTTTTTTCATCATATCTATTGTTGAAATATTATTTTGGAAACAGACAAAAGTTTAGTCCCTCCTGTTTCAAACACCTGACCATATTCACTGTACACAAACGCTCCTGTGTTATGAAGATATATTCTATTAATGAAAAAGGTCCGAATATGTTTGATATAACACAACATTCCAATATAAATTTAAGTACATGTTTATACAAAATACATGACTGAGAAAACTTCTTCCACACATTAGCAACGAGGCTCGTTGATTATTCCCACATTTACGACGTTTGACGGAAATGACCGAAAAGTTGCGATCTCTGTATTTATACCAGATAACTGCAATTGTGCTCCTGTCCTCTTTGTAAAGTTTCAAGTTGCGCCAATTTCTGTTGTTCTCAAAAATAAGCAATATTGAATAAATATGTATATTTGAATCATTTCTCGAAAACAAGTCTTTTTGTTACCCAGTTTGTTCTTTAAATTTCAGATAAAAAGAAGAGGAAAGAAAACTACTACGTGCATATGTGTTTATGTTTGTTTTGTTTTGTTGTTTCGTTTTGATTTTTTTGTTATGTTTGGTTTGTTTTGCTTTTCTCGTTTTTATAGTATTACATTTGTTTTTCCCATGTTCTGCTCAGGCATCGATTTTATATCTTTAAATATTATTGTGATAAACATGTTTCTGAATTTTATTCTTACTAATAAAGTCCATTGAAACATGCTCTTGTCTATAATTTTCTATCTTCCAGTAAACTGCTCATTGAAGCAGCAACAGTTTGAAACATGTCGTTTCCTATAATTCCTATAATTTTAGCTACACATCATATTGCAAGGAAAAATACGATAATTAAGGCATGATAAACACTCAACAAAAACATTTTGCAAGACGCTAGTAAACTTAAATAAGTTTGTGTATGATTTTTGAGTTTTAATTTGAATAAGCTTTTGCATGATCTTTGCCAAGCATTTTCAAAAAGCCTAAGCGTTTGTTTTAGTTTGTAACAATCTATTCTTTAAAAAAGAAGAAGCAAAAAAAAACAAAATAAAAAAACAACAACACCCCCCCCCCCCCCCAAAAAAAAAAATCGTAGTACAATGTATATGTTATTCCCATTCAGTGTTCATTGCAGTTTTATCATAGTTTAGCACGGATATTCCGAGCTCACTGACCTTGAAGTGTATATTAATTAAAAAGACGGATAGATTTTTAAGGTACTCACGGACTTTCGCATTGGGGTATTGTACAGGCTGTATTATGGTTTGCATATCTCTATGAAGAGAATGCACGTGGTGAAAAATTGACAAGATTTTAAAGAATGTTAATCATTTTTGAAATAGGAACTCTTCAACCTTTTAATGAATAAATATTTATGTGAAATTGACCCTTTTGAAACATATGCCATTACTTTGTAGAAGTAGGATGAAACAATTTTGGTTTTCTGCAGCAGCTAAGGTAAGTGGAAACAAGTCACTTGTTTCTTTGGTATGGTTAAAAAAAAAGATATCGCAAAAGATACCCCCGGAAATGAACGGAATTTAAGGCGGTTCTGAAAAATATGTTTAAAGGTATTACGGAGTTAAGCCTCGGTGACACATTTCTGTAGATCTGTGGCGTTATTTTCATTTTTTGATGGAGTTTTTTTCATGAACTGGTTTTCAACGACGTCATGGTTTTCCCAGGCTTTCAACATTCTCAACGGGATTAATGTCCAAAAAAATCCACCTGGCCTGGCGTTTGTAGAAACGTTTTCAAATAATTGCAAAGGCTTACATCAAGGGCGACAACTGATGATGTATATAAAGTTAGTTCCGATGTTCTCATTCCCCTATTTTCTTTTTTGCGAATAAAGAATAAGGAATCAGTTCCTTATTTCTTTTTTCTCGAATAAAAAAAAGGAAAAACTAGTTCCTTATTCCTTATTCAAATCTAAATAAGGAACAGCAGAATTAGTATTTATATAAGATAAAATTATGGTTGATCAGAAAACTAGAACGGTTCTTTCTTTCATAAATCTTGTTGAAAATTGCACAAATCAATCATCAAAATCATAGAATAAAAGCATCCGCAATCGACTTATGATTAAATAATATTGAAGTCGAATAAGGAATAAGGAAGCCGTTCATTATACCTCATTAAAATTATTGCATAAAGCATCTGCATAAAATTATTTTGAAAATATGTTAAAGTCGAATAAATAATTAGGAACCAGTTCCTTATTCCTTTATTTAACTCCGAATAAGAATCAGAAGAAAATACGCCAATAAAGACGGCAGTTGCAGTTATTGCTGATAAACCTTCATTAGAATTGGCAAAGATCAATCATTAAAATCATTGCAAAAAGCATTCGCATAAAAGTATTTTTAAAAAATGTTCAAGTTCATTCGACTCTTAGTAAGGAACAGAAGGAAATACGTAAAGAAAGACATCAGTTGCAGTTTATTTTTTATAAATCTGTATTAGAATTCCAAGGACAAATCTTTATAATCATTTCATAAATCATTCATTTTATATTATGGATCCTTGCAATTCTTATGCAGATTTATAAGAATTAACTGAAGCTGCAGTCTCTATTTGCTTATGAGCCTCTTTAACTTATTCAAAGTTGAATAAGGAATAAGGAACTGGTTCCCTATTCCTTATTCGAATTTTACATTTTTTTTTCAAAATAGTTTATGCTGAAGCTTTATGCAATGATTTAAATGATTATTTCTTACGAGTCTAATGCAGTTATATTAGAAATAATTGCAACTGGTTTCTTTCCAGGGTATATTATTCTGTTCCTTATTCGGAGTTGGATAAGGAATAAGGAAGTGGTTCCTTATTCCTTATTCGACTTTGAAATTTCTTTCAAAACATTTGATGCAGATGCTTGATGCAATGATCTTAATCATTTATCCTTGCAATTCTAATGCAGATTTATCAAACATAACTGCAACCGGTGGCTTTCTTTATGTATATTCTTTTGTTCCTTATTCGGAGTCAAATAAAGAATACGGTACTGGTTCCTTATTCCTTTTTCGACTTTGACATTTCTTTTAAAATATTTTTATGACGATGCTTTATTTAATGATTTTAATGATTGATCCTTACAATTTTTATGCAAATATATCAGAAATAATTGGTGTCATTCTTTGGATATCTTCTGTTCCTTATTCGACTTGAACAGTTTTTCCAAATAGTTGCATGCAGATGCTTTATGCAATGATTCAAATGATTGATCCTTGCAATTCTTATGCAGATTTATTAGAAATAGTTGCAATTGCGTTCTTTCTTTGCGTATCTTTTTATGTTCTTTATTCGGAGTTGAATAAGGAATAAGGAACTAGTTCCTTACTCCTTATTCGACTTTAACATATTTTCAAAATATTTATATGCAGATGCTTTTATTTTAATTAGGTATCAGAAACGGGTTCCTTATTCGACTTGAATATTTTTTCAAAATATTTAATGCAGATTTTTTTATGCAATGATTGTAATGATTGACCCCTACAATTCTTATGCAGATATATCAGAAATAATCGCAAATGGTGTCATTCTTTGTGTTATTTTTCTGTTCCTTAATCGGTGTTGAATAATTTTATTCGACGTGTACATTTTTTTTTTCAAAATATTTTTATGCTAATGCTTTATGCAATGATTTTAATGATTGATCCTTGCAATTCTTATGCAGGTTTATAAAAAATAACTGAATCTGATGTCTTTCTTTACGCATTTTCTTCTGTTCCTTATTCGGAGTCGAATAAGGAATACAGAACTGGTTCCTTATTCCTTATTCGACTTTGACATTTCTTTCAAAATATTTTGATGCATATGCTTTATGAAATGATTATAATGATTGATCTTTGCAATTCTAATGCAGATTTATCAAAAATAACTGCAACTGGTGTCTTTCTTTACGTATTTTCTCCTGTTCCTTATTCGCAGTCGAATAAGTTGAATAAGGAATAAGGCACAAGTTCCCTATTCCTTATTCGACTTTAACATTTTTAAAAAATATTTTTTGCAGATGCTTTATGCAATTATTATAATGAGGTATAAGAAACGGGTTCCTTATTCCTTGTTCGACAAGAATATTGTTTGAAAATATGTCGATACGGATGCTTTATTCTATGATTTTGATGATTGATTTGTGCAATTTTCAACAGATTTATGAAAGAAAGAACCGTTCTAGTTTTCTGATCAATCATAATTTTATTTTATATAAATACTGATTCTGCTGTTCCTCATTTAGATTTGAATAAGGAACCAGGAACTAGTTCCCTATTCCTTTTTTGAAAAAGGAATAGGGAATGAGGAATAGGGAACTAACTTAATATATATATATTCATCAACAACTGATGTACGACAGCCAAGCAACAGACAGTCGAAACACCAAAATATAGACTTAGACGAGTATCATTCTGTTTATAAAGATGATGGAACTAATGAAGTGTATTTCAGATGTAGCATAGGTTTAAATGTAAAAAATATGTATTTAAAGGGAGTTGCATGTATTATGGATATAACAATTTTTAATATTTCTTTTTTTTATCAAATTCATGTTTTATTCTACCTTATTTTATGAAAAATAATAAATAAGAGTTTTGAACATTTTCGAGAATAGAAGCAATGCAGTCGGATTAGAAAACTTACAAGTACTTGTCAGTATTTGTGTGGTAGACAATTGTCTGTGTTTGTGAATTATTCATGTAAAGCACTTAATATTACAAAAATAAAATGAGCTTTTCTAATTGGAGTACTCGCTCCTGTCTTGTAATTAAAGATCAGTTTTAAGTTTAAGTCGCAGATCACTAAATTTATATTGCACCCCCACCCCCACAGAAAAAGGAAATTCATTACACTTTCAGTGTTATTCTATACTTATTAATATTTTATGCGGTTCTGTGGAATAAATGTTTTAGTCCTATATCGAGACATTAGCTTCTCAAAGAAAATAGTGAAAATAGTACAGTGGAGCCTTGCTAATCCGAAACCTTGTAATCCGGAATCC